GGCTGCGATTAGGATCGAAGGGTGTCGTGGTGCCTCCACGTTCTTTGGGTGGAATTGGGCTGAATGATATCCTACATGATTAAGTATGTCACCTTGTCGCCCGATTTCAATTTAACCAATACAAGATGACTGCAGCAGCCAGAGGACACCTAGTCTTAGCCTTGGCGTGAGGCTGATATGTATTTGGGCGACTTATTGGTCGCATTGTGGTTAGCTCTCAGCTGAAGACGAAACTAGTGCCAGTGGCGACCGTCTGGAACACACATCGCGTGCGACCCGTCAGGTGCACGTGTTCTCCCCTAGACATGCTATCTAGTTTCGGAGGCTATTTGAGGCTCTGTAGAATTCCACATAGTATGACACCGATACGCACGCACTACTGGTCTGATGTCAGCTGAATGGTGCATGTCATCATCAGCAACGACGAAATGTGATGTCGCTGCCAGACATGGCGTCACGGGCGCTGTAAGCATCAGCATTGGAACTTGAACAGATCCACACCAGGCAGGTTTTGAGAGTTTGCCCATATCCAGAAGGTACCAGATGCCTAAGCAAGGGGGTCACCAATTGTGAAAAGAATAGAATTCGCCAAGGTTCGCCGTCCATTGACCCGAAGAAATCGTTTAAAAGTCCGAGGTAATTTTACGAAGGCCACTACATAGTGTCCAGTGAATTGGCTCGAAAGAGCATGTCAACTCTGAGATGGAGGTGTTCTGCACCGAGACGACAATTTTTGGGAAAGTACCGGCGCCGCGCTCCGATAAGCAACCTTTCCATCGCGAAGCAGTCAAACGTCCCTTAGGCAAAGCTTATTAGATGGTAAGCAACTGGTCCCTCCGATAGCTGCTCGCATCCAACACCAACGCAATTAGCTTCCAGTACACTTAAATAGTCTCACCAACTCCGTATCGAGCTATGACGGCGGGACTTGCATATGCGGCGTTCAAAAGTTAAGGCGGTCATTCAGGAAAGTTTTCAGCAACGATGTGGCGCACGATGTGGTGCACCAAGTAGTGATGGGAATTGTGCATATCGTAAGGTCAATTTGGTACTATCCAGCATTGCATTAGCTTACTGCGTGCACGAAAGCAGTCGCAAAGAGGTCTTACTTGTCGGCTAGCGAGCCCATTCCTCCGCACTCAATAATCTCCTGAGTAAGGTCCCCTGACGCAAGTTACCTGGATACTGCAACTGCCAGTGAAACTATCGTCCTAATGGAATACTGCGCGGTCTTAGTATGTCTGATGCTTTGAATTTGCACTGCGTCGCAATAGCTGTCGCGCGGCTATGCGAAAAGCCCTCGGAAAGATTAGCCTAACAAATCAGCCACGTTCATGGGCATCTCGTCAATCTGAGTTGAGTAGTACACTGGATATGTTTAGCAACCTGGTAATCTGCGGCGAATGGGGAATCCTACACTCAATGTCGCGAAGAATGCGAACGTCGTCTTGAGTGACAAAGTTGATAGCCACGCCCTTGCGTCCGAAACGGCCACTTCGACCAATCCTGTGGATGTAGTTCTCACGGTTTGAGGGAAGATCATAGTTGATAACGAGCGAGACCTGTTGCACGTCGATACCACGAGCCCAGACGTCAGTTGAGATCAAGACACGGGAGTGAGCCTGGCGGAAGTCCTGCATAATGCTGTCGCGCTCCCTTTGCGGCATTTCACCATGCATGGAAGACACGGTGAAGTTAGCCTCGCGCATCTTGTCAGTCAGCCACTCAACTTTGCGGCGCGTGTTGCAGAAGATGACTGCTTGGGTGATTGTGAGGGTGTCGTAGAGATCACAAAGCGTGTCGAACTTCCACTGCTCCTTCTCAATAGCAATGAAGTACTGCTTGAGGCCTTCGAGGGTCAGCTCGTCGCGCTTGACCAAGATGCGCACAGGGTCCGTCATGAACTGGGTCGTCATCTCCAGAACATCGTAGGGGAGCGTAGCTGAAACGACGACGACTTGAGTCGCAGGTGGTAGGTAGCGATAGATGTCGTAGATTTGCTCACGGAAACCGCGGTTGAGCAGCTCGTCGGCCTCGTCGAGGATAAGCATCTTAACGTGCTTCGTTTTGAGGTTTGTGCGACGGATCATGTCGGACACACGTCCCGGGGTGCCCGATACAATGTGCTGGCCTTGGTCGAGCTTGCGGATGTCCTCGCCGACGTTGGTGCCACCGATGCAGGCATGGCATTGCACGTTCATGTAGTCGCCGAGGCCCAGGATGACCGACTGGATCTGCGTGGCGAGCTCACGAGTGGGAGAAAGAATGAGGGCTATACAGGATTAGCAGGGATGCAGTACGCGGCGGTGGGCGAAGGACTACTCGCCTTGGGTCTCGCGCAGAGCCGTGTCGATGACCTGGAGAATGGAGATGGAGAAGGTGGCCGTCTTGCCCGTGCCGGACTGGGCCTGGGCAATGGTGTCGCGGCCCTTGCAGACCTGCACAATGGCACGCGACTGCACGGCCGAGGGCGATTCGTAGCCAAAGGCGTAGATGCCGCGCAGCAGGTTCTCCTTCAGGTGCATGTCCTCGAACGTCGGCGCGACCGTCACCTCCTTGGACGTGCTGAACTCCATCTTGTCCTCGGAACTTCGGTCGATTCCGTCCGCCATGTTGGGTGCTAATTGGGGTGCGTGTACGTCTGTGTGGGTGGGTATATGGGGGTTGCAGACGACGTGGGTGAAGGCGGGCGCAACAAAAGTTTGGAGCTTCGGCCAAGGCTAAGCTTTGCGGAGAGCGCGTCCCGGGCGCCGGCAATACTTTTGCCCTAGCGCGTCGTCGATTTATCTGGCGGCCGTCGCGACGCAGCTTCGTGACCTTGCAGTGCTCGCCGTGCCCTGCCCCTCGACAACGCCCCGCTCCCAAGGTGTGCACTTTGCCTGCCCGTCCTCTGCTCTACAGAGAGACTCAGACTCACTGACCCTCCAGGCGACCGCAAACATGTTGCTGGAAGACCAGCGACAGATCCACGAGGACTTGGAGCGCCTCGAGCAAGCCATCGCCGAGCGCCTGCTCGAAGACCCCACACACGTTGGTCACCCAACAGCCCCTCTCCCGCCGCGCATGCCATGTTGACCGCTTCACAGATTCGCGACCGCCTGGCACGTGACCACGACATCGCGCGGTTCCTCGAGCAGATTGAAGCCCAGTCGCGCCGCTTGCTCGTCCTCTACGAAGATGCCGACAGCCGCAGGGCCGAAGAGATGCGCAACCTCACTCTGGGCGACCCCATGGAGTCGTTCATGAAGGAGGTTGCCGCCATCAACGACTTCCATCGCCGCTATCCCAACGAGCCCGTCGAGAACCTCGAGAAGGCGTACAAGAAGCGCTCGCCCGAAGACCAGGCGCAATACCTCGCTGCAATCGACGCCATGTTCACTGGCGAGGAGGGCTTTGGCCGCTACTTTGACATGACCACGCTGCACGAGACGTACCTGAACCTTCCCGTCCACCAAGCCGCCCGCCGCCTCACCTATCTACAATATCTCGACATGTTCGATCAATTCATACCACCGCAATGCAATATTCCCCGCCAGCAGAAGAAATCAGAAGCCTACTTCCAGTATCTGAAGGCACTGCAAGACTATCTTGAATCTTTCATGCGCCGTACCAAGCCCCTCGAAAACTTGGACAAGCTCTTCGCTGCCTTTGACAAGGAGTTCAACGAGCTCTGGGAAAAGGATGAAGTGCTAGGATGGGAGAAAAAGGCGCCCTCATCTGCACCAGTCAATGGCGAGGCACAGGGCGAGGGCATCTGGTGCTCGGCTTGCAGCAAGGGGTTCTCCAAGGAGACAGTCTACGAGGCTCACCTCACGGGCAAGAAGCACAAGCGAGCTGTGCAGGAGAGTCAAGGTGCCTCGGACAACGCAACCGCCAAGACGAATGGTGCTGCGACAGACATCCAGCGCTTCAAGGAACGAGCCGTGGCTGAGCGAGAGTTCCGCATACAAAAGCTGGCTGCAGCTATGCAGACCGAGCGCGCCGACACCAAGGCCAATGTTGAGCGCAAGCAGGGCATGACAGAGCGCGAACGCCAACAAGAGCTAGAACAGCTCTACTCGGACAAGCCTGACAATGGTGCACAAGAGGAGGACAACGAGTCAGATGGCGAGGACAAAATCTACAATCCTCTCAAGCTTCCGCTTGCTTGGGATGGCAAGCCTATTCCCTTCTGGCTCTACAAGCTGCACGGTCTTGGCGTCGAGTTCCCCTGCGAGATATGCGGCAACTTCGTGTACATGGGCCGCCGCGCATTCGACAAGCACTTCAACGAGCCTCGCCACATTCACGGTCTCAAGTGTCTCGGCATCACCAACACGACACTATTCCGCGAGATCACGAGCATCCAGGAGGCAGAGAGCTTGTGGAAGAAGATCCAGAAGGACAAAAAGAAGGAGAAGACGTTGGCTGAGAACGTGGTCGAGATGGAGGACTCGGAGGGCAACGTCATGCCTGAGAAGGTGTACAGGGACTTGGCTGCTGCGGGCATGCTCTGAGCGCGATCGATTGGCGAATTGCATAATACCACTGGCGTTTGGAGTTGGGCAAAAATATGCCTCGTGTACGGATACAAGTTTTCTGTAAAATAGAATACCCCGAGGATCATGAACTGCGGCAGCCCTAGGGCTCCGACAGTTGGTCTTGAATGAAATGAATCATCTGACCCTATCTACCTAGCATGTAACGTACGGCTTCAGCCGCACATCTCGAACGCCTCCTTCTCCCAGACCAGTCAGTCAGTCATTCAGTCAGCCAGTCAACATCACCCCTCCCTCTTCCCAGTTATCAACTCCCTTTCAGCTCCATCCCTACCACAGCACCACCACACACAGCCCGCCAAATTCCTCCCCAACATCCTCCGCTTCCTATTTCTCCTCATTCTCCATCAACCCCCACGGAACCTCCCCAAATTTAGCTGCCATGACTTATCATATAATGTATGAAATCCGAGGCATTCTCATACAACAAGACAGTTTAAGGCTGCGTCACGTGTGCGTGCACTCCCTGTAGTGTAGTGGTTCATCACGTTCGACTGCAATATCTACGTTGTGTTCCAAAAGTCCGAGTGTTCGATTCCTCGTGGGGAGAGAAAAGAAAAGAATGAATGCATTTGTGACGCTTGCTCCTTGTTTGTCTTGTTTTGTTATCATTTCTGGTTAGTTGGGGAGGGGTAGGAGTGGCTTCTCGCAGTATTGTTGGTTGATTGAACAGCTGATGGTGGCTGACGGGCGCGCTTCTCAGCTGGGGCGTGGTGTGGTGTGGCTGGCTTCGAGGGCGTGGAACATGTATATAGACAGAGGGGTGTTTATGGTAGTCGTTAGTTCCATGGCGAGAACACACTATCGTTGATTGGATCCCGGTTTCGTGCTATGAGGTTTGCCCAAATGCTATCTGCATCCTCCTTGCATGTGCCGCGCGGCGTTTAGCCTGAGCGGATATGGGTTTGTAGTCTGTTGGAGGATATACGCCATCTGTAGGCGCTGCGGCCGCTTCTCCAGACAAACTTTGTGAGAATTCTGAGCTGCCTGGAGGTGAATACTGTGATACTAGCGAACTTGACTCCTCAGAACTTATTACTGACGTGGCTCCTGCTTCTTCGGCATGCTTGGCGTATGACTCATTCGTGGTAGGAGGCCATGGACATGATCTGGAGCCACGTTGTGTCTCTGAAATGGATGGCGATGAGAAGTTGCTCTTAGCGGTCGTCTTTGTGCAAGTGCTGATGTCAACGGGAAGGGTGGCTGCTCTCGGAAGAGGCGTGCGAAGATCAGATGACTGACCGTAAGCTCGACAGTTATTTTGATTCTAGGAGAAACGTGAAGAAGAAGCTGACGGATAAACAGACACTCCAGTGCTCTGCGAAATAAGGTCCGATCTATCTGACGCTGATGAAAGAAAGTTTGTTGAGAAGAACAAAAGATTTTGGTCTCTGCAGTAGCACTATCTTCGCGTCGAATATACTGTACGAGTACTGATTGGCCCCGCTGATATCTGTTTCGAGCTTTGGTTTGACGGCCAGAAACTTAGCCGTGATGAGTCTATCCAGGTGCAGTGGCTCCCTACTCAACCACCAGGGAGGGTTGAAATAATAGAGCTTCCAGTCAAGGTTTCAGAAGATGTGGCGATTGAGTTGCCGAATGGACCCCCAACACCGGACAGTATTGCCCCGAGGAAGGGCGCGCACAATGATGTGGCGAGCAGTGAGAATGATCGCATTAGACCATTGATGGCTGTCGATCATGAGACGAACATGAGCCAAGATGACAAGACAGCGCGAAGCTTGGGGGGTCGGTTGACAAAGGCGAGAGGCGGCAAGTGGTCGCTATATGGTAAGTCGTAGACAGTGCTATTTATACAGTTGTCAAAACTGAGGTGTCGCACAAATTATTTCCTAGTCAATAAACATCTTCTTGCCCCTCATTGGATCTTGACCAATAGCGCGACTGGAAATCTCCTCTGCTTCCCAAAGTCATCGATCATGCCAATCGTAGGAATTAGTTCCGCGACACCTTACAGCATTGGTGGATCGTAACCACCGGAAGAAGTTCGTTAGTAGCCGCAGTGTGGAGTTCCACAACCGCGACGGATCGTGGGGTATCATAGGGTGGTAGTGTCAGATGGAACAATGCAATTCAGTGGGAGGATGAAGTATAGACGCAATGTGATTTGTTGTGATGTCGACACGCGTAACTAACAAGGCGGGGCATCAACGTCGCTCTGAATAAATCGGGCAAGAGCCGCCGACTCATCCGAAGCGGGGAAAATTCCCCTGCATGACGGAACTGCAAATATTAAGAGGCAACGCCGCTTCATCCTTTGAACATCAGATCATCAACATCAAAGTTCACATCCAACATTAAAAAGAATGCCTTTCCTAACGAACGGCACTCCTAACACGAACGGGCATACAAATGGCGGCAAGACAACGCCCGTCGCACCCCGCTTATTCTCCGCTGATCGGCCACCTTCCCTCGAGGAGTTCAAGAAGCTCACAACTCAATCAACGCCGATTCAATACCCCCTTGCTAGCGAGATAACAGCGAATGTACCGATATATGAACTTCCGGACTATTCTTCACTGAGCCCACAACAACGCTCTGCGCTCCAGGATGAATGGTACCACATCCTTCTTTCCGGACCCGGCGTCTTCGTCACGAAGGGACTTTACAGGGACACGAGCTTGCTCGACACAGTGAATGATGTATACGCCAAAATCATTGATGAAGAGAAGAAACTGGCAGGCAAACGAGGCGACCACTTCGCTGGCTCCGGCGCAAACGACCGTATCTGGAACTCGTTCTCGAAACACTGTCTAAAAGGCCCAGAATCGTTCTTAGAGTACTACTCGAACCCATGGCTACCGTTGATATCGTCGGCATGGCTAGGCCCACATCACCGACTGACAGCACAAGTCAACATTGTCAAGCCCGGAGCGAAAGCACAGATTTCGCACAGAGACTACCATATTGGCTTCCAGGATAACGAATCGTGCGCGAAATTTCCAAAAGCACTTCAAGTCGCTTCCCAATTTCTCACTCTCCAAGGAGCCGTTGCACATTCAGACATGCCGCTCGAGAGTGGGCCCACGCGGCTACTGCCCTTTAGCCAGACGTTCGAGGAGGGCTACATGGCATACCGGATCCCAGAGTTTCAGAACTTCTTCCTGGAGAAGCATGTCTCAACACCATTGGATAAGGGCGACGGTCTCTTCTTCAACCCGGCGCTCTTCCACGCTGCAGGACAAAACGACTCCGCAGATGTCTTGCGCTCTGCCAATTTGCTCCAGATTTCATCGGCGTTTGGTAAGCCTATGGAAATGATCGACACTTACCCTCTCATCGAGGCGACATGGGCTGGACTGGTAGATACGTACAAGAAGAATGGCTTAAGCGATGAGGTCAGGACTTTTGTGGCCAACGTTGCCGAAGGATATCCCTTCCCAACGAACCTGGACAGGAGGGTTCCGGAGACAGCGGGTATGGCACCAGAGAGTGAACAGGACCTTCTGATCAAAGGGCTAGAGAATGGGTGGGCGAAGGAGAAATTATTGGCTGAATTGCAAAAGATGAAAGATGATTCACGAGCGTAAGCCGCAGCAGGCTCTAAGATGTAATTGCTATCATGACTCCATGACCCTAGAAGGATTTGTTTGTAGGTGTTAGTTCGAAATCTAGATATAAGACAGCATATAGAGTAGAAGATGATTTTCAAATCAAGCCGCCACTGCCTCATTAACTTTTTACACGTATTTTGATCTACGAACAACGCGATCTTCAAAAAGTGATCCTGATGGAAGGTCTTCCGTGACTTTCCAGCACCCTTTCAAATTACCAAGTGCGTGATACATGATATGTATGCTGTTTGGCCTTACCATGGAAGTTCTGCGACTTGGTCACCTATGTGTAAATACAAACACTTCACTTACCCCTTCCATGTTTGGGAGTACGTATAGTGCAATGCCCACATTCCCACGAACATCTAAAACCTCCAGATAGCCAAGCCTCAAAGCAACATTGTGCGACAACCCTTCGAGTCCAACAATCATCGCGGCACTCCTCGTCACTTTACCACGTGGTTCCAGTGAGGCCGCTTCGTCTCATCTCTACACCTGGCACCAAGACTCGAACTTCAGACTCTCTCACAGTTGACAAAAAAGGATGACATCCACCACCCCCGACAACCTTCTCAAGCTAGCCTCAGAGCTCTCCAAGCTGGGCGCCGATCTCGCAACTGTGGGTGGTAAACTCGCAGAGGCTGCTACAACGCTCGAACAGGAAGCTGCCAATATTGCGCTGGAGAATTCTAGGCGGTGGGGTGTTGATGTGCAGGTTGGTGTACGAGTAGGTCCGTATGGTGTTCCGGGTAGTGTTATTGAGGTGAAAAAGTAGAGTGAAGGTGAGATAGGAAGGAGTGAGACGATGGATGGGAGGAAACGTGGTTCAGTGAGAGGGGCATAAACCTTGTGATTTCATGAACTTACGTGCAACGATGAGAATCCACGTGTGGAAGAAGTCTACCGAGTTTACCAAGGCGGCTTTTTATCGTGGTGATGGGGAGGGAGGAAAGAGTTCATTTACCGCTTTTGTTACATGCGGGATCATTAATAGACTTTGTAATATGCTCTCCTGTTGATCTAAAGAGTATATAAACATGTCGCAGTGTTTACTGTTCAATTATCTATGCTTCTCAACAATACACTCATATAATTTCCAACCTCAGCGCATCATACTGCAAATACACACTTTCCGGCAGCACTGCATCCTCCGGTGCCGTCGCACGCGCCGGCAAACTCAGCACAAACTCATTACTTCCCACCTTCAACATCTTCGCATCGAACACAAACTTGTGCCCTGTAGTATAGCATGTAGCCGCACTTCTAACGGCGCAGCTACTCGAGTGCTGCCTCGGAATGGTCCATGTTGGCAGCTGCTTTCCATTGACGACCACATTGTACGGTAGATCTTGCCACGCTTTGTCGCCAGCAGCGTCATTGTTGCCTGCCGAAGTTTTGACACCAGCAAGCTGCACGGTGAATGTAGCGGAACCTTTGTTGTCGATTTGATCCTGTGTCAGGTCAAATGTCAGTGTCCAGTTGTTCACATTGGTGTAGTAAGGATCCTTTCGAAGATAGTTCGCTTTGCCGCCAAATACACTCCAATGGACGTAATTCAAGTCGTTTAGGCTAGAAGTGCCGACCTTATAGTTTACGCCGTTGGGAAAGTCTTTCGGAAAATCGTGCACAGCCCAGTATAGGCGATATTGGCGTGGCTGCAACGTCTTTGAAGTATCCTTTTCGTTGCCATGTCGAAACTCGCCACTGCTTTTATCGGGCGTACCAATGCGCCAGAGCTCTGTACCGGCGGATTCTGCAGTCCAGGTTGCAGCCATATTCGCAGTAGCTCCAGCCTTGATGATGACATTGTCTTGTTCATATTGTCCGAAAATGCCATCAGCGTACACGGTTAAGCGATATGTGCCAGCCCTGACAGATGCAATTGTGACGCTACCAGAGGCGTCGACATCACCCCAGTATTGGTAGGCCTTCGCATCCTTGTTGTTGTCCTGAAAGTCGCTACCATTGAGAGCGA